CCCCTACTGTCCTTTTTTTGGAAAACTAAAATATGGTCACCCTATTATAAATATACTTAATTATTATGAAAATATCAGAGATGGCTTAAATAACACAGATAAACTATATTGTTGCAGTCGAGTGTTTATTGTCTTTGTTTTATCATTCAAAACGTTTATATGTTCTGTTTACTCAGTTACAGATGCCTTTGTCTATATAAGGGATTTCCTGGAGGGTCATGAGTTTGCTACTTCTGTGACTGGATATGTGGATTTTCTGTGCGAGGGCGCCCTCTGGTGTCCAGTATGAATGAAACAGACATCATGTGTTTATAATGCTAATGGCCAATCCATAATTTTTGGGGGGGAATTTTTATTTATTTATTTTTTAATAAGTATAGTTTCAGGCACCGGAACCGTTTAAAAAATATAGATTTGGCACCGGTATCAAAAAAAAAACAAAAAAAAAAACGATACCCAACCCTAAGAATGAGGCAGAAAATATGTTACATAGGCTACTTTAAAAAGAATACATAGATTAGCAATGGATTATATATATACTTAATTATTATGAAAATACCAGAGCTTGAATAACACAGATAAACTATATTGTCGCAGTCGAGTGTTTATTGTCTTTGTTTTATCATTCAAAACGTTTATATGTTCTGTTTACTCAGTTACAGCTATAATAGCGATGCCTTTGTCCATATAAGGGATTTCCTGGAGGGTCATGAGTTCCTCTATGTCTGTGACTGGATATGTGGATTTTCAGTGCGAGGGTGCCATCTGGCGTCCAGTATGAATGAAACAGACATCATGTGTTTATAGTGCTAATGGCCAATCTTTTGGGGAATTTTTATTTATTTATTTTAATAAGTATCGGATCAGGCCCCGTTTAAGCACCGGAACTGTTTTAAAAGTATCGATTTGGCACCGGTATCAAAAAAAAAAAACGATACCCAACCCTAAAACACACACACTTGCCAAAGGTAGAAGGAACCAAATATACAATAGCACAGCTAGATGCAAAAACAAACACACGCATATGTCTGGATCTGGATGCATGACCCTTCTAATGACGGCAGAAAACAGTCAGCGATATGACAGGTGATTTAGGCAGGTGTGTGTGTGTGTGTGTGTGTGTGTTGTAGGGCTGATGTCACGGCTGACGGAGCACAGGGTCAGGATGTGTCAAAGAAAGTGAATGAGAACGAGAGAGAGAGAGACAGAGAGAGAGAAGGGGGAAGGGAAGTCAGACGTAGGACAAAGGAGAAGATGTCAGAAAAGGGCTCCACGTCGGCTTCTTAAACCTGCTGGTCCTCAACCAGGAGCCAGTAACATCAGAAAGCAGAGAGCAGGTCAGTAACTTAAAATCACAAATAAACTCAAACCCCTCTCATTATAAACAGCCAATCTGAATACATTTAAAGTGCTCGACACTTTGCTCAGAGGTGCAGTGTGATTTGCTTTCAGTCAACCGGCACTCAATTCCTATTTTTGTCATGCAGTAAATCTACTCAACTCCAGCCACTCTATTTTCACCTTTCGTCTGAATTAAAAGAAATTTATTTACAAATTGCATGCTTGTGAATTGTTTACTACTCACTGGAATTGAAATAAGAATGCAATTCCTGAATTTAAATTGAGGCAGTAAACAGAATGCTGTTTGAATTTGAATGCAAGTACAATTATAGTAATTTTAAATTCAAATAAATTGTTATAACTGCAATAAAACAAAAGAAAAAAGATACAATGATACACATTATAAAGCAATACAACAACAAATCAAGTGATAGAACAATAAACAGAACAATGGGTGGATGAGTGGGTGGATGGAACAATAGATAGAATGATAGATAGAACAGTGGATGGATGGATGGATGGATGGATAACAGAATGATAGAACAACAGAATGATAGATAGAACGATGGATGGATGGATGGATGGACGGAACAATAGATGGAATGATAGAACAATAAAACAATACAACAATAAATCAAACAACAGAAGGATAAACAGAATAATGGATGGATGGAACAATAGAAAGATACAATGATAAACAGAACATCAAAACAATTCAACAATAAATCAAACAATAGGTGGATGGATGGATGGATGGATGGATGGAATGATAAACAGAACAGCATATATAAATCAAACAATAGAACAATGGATGGATGGATGGATGGATGGATATAATGGAATAATTCTTCATTTCCTAGAATGCATTGCCTACGTTAAACTTCTTTGAATTGCAATTGACCATTCGCAAAGAGCTTGATTGACAGGCGATCTGACCAATCATAACGCCAAATCCGCCATCTTGTCTGACTGCTACAGCCAGAAACGAACAATAAATGAAATTTTCTACCTATTAGATTGTGTTTTATTAATGTCTACACCTACCCCAACCCTAAACAATAATGCAAAAACAGTAATGCAAAGTAATTATTATTGTACAGCATATAATACGCTATATTGATGTGCGCATTGCATATATATATATTAGGGCTGGTCCGAATACCATTTTTTTAGCGTCGAAGCTTCGGTAGTAATCAACACCTAATATTCGAAGCTTCGGAGGGAGGGGGCTGAACACATTCTTCTTAGGCTGAGTTTGCACTTGGCATTAACATGCAACCTGTATCCGGATGTTGTACACATACACATTGAAAAGACGAGTGTAAACGCGCTTCTGATCGGAATGTTATCCGATCAGCGTGTCCTGGTCCAGAGGTAGTCGAGGACGCATTGTGATCGGATCTCAGTGTAATGTAAACGCAATCCAGCCATCGTGTCTGCATTCGCAGGTCGACATCACGCAAAACACCGCCCCCTCTCTCCCGATCTGTCGGAAGAACAGAGCGCTAGTGAGACTCATACATTTATTTTGATTTGTAAAATGTCCCGCGACTGAAAATAGTTTTCAAAAGAAAACCAACCACTTCAGGTTGACTTTGCACCGCAGACTAATTTAAATATTGCGTGGGAAATACAGATCCGATCGGTTATCCAGATCAAGAATTCAGCTGATGTTGCCAAGGGTAAACCAAGGGAGTGCAGTGTCGCATTTTGGTGCAATATGGACAGGCGACACATTCAGAATTAATAAACGTTTAATAAATTACAGAACAGTGCGAGCCGGAAGTGGCACGCCTCACGCGGGCAGGGCTTATATGCTCCGAGAACGGACACTGCACTAGTGATACAAAATACACAGGTCTGTTAAAGGGGTCATATGATGCAATTTAAATTTTTTCTTTATCTTTGGAGTGTTACAAGCTGTCGTGAAGGCGCTGTGTGTTTCGTTGTGAAAGCGAAACTCGCATAAACACATTTCATTACACCAAATACACAAAATAATGTTCTTTTTAGCAACATCATATGACCCCTTTAAGAGCAATACTTTTAATATAGACAAATTATTATTAGGCTGGGCTACTATAAGTTTTTTTATGACTGCCATATTAGTAAGTATTTTACAAGCAAATTAAGTGCACGTTTTTATCATGTGTAAAATTACTGATTAACATGGCGGATAAAAGCAGCTCGTTTTTTTACACCAACAATATACTATAGGCGTACTACTTACAGAACTTTTACCGATTTTTCAAACTTGATGTGCAGTTGTGGTGGCCAGTTTCAAATCGCATATTTGGCACACTGCCTTTGTCTTGTCCTCACTCAATTTAAAGTGCTCCCACACAGCTGAGGTCTTCTGCATTTTTGTCTTCTCTTCCAGATGAACTGAATCATGACGTTCATGACATTCATTCATGGGCCATTCATATTCAAGGGCGAATGAAAACCGTTACGCGAGGGATGCCAGGTGTTCGAAAAAAAAAAAATTTGAATCTCAAAATTGAAAATTGAATGCAAACCCACCGAACGAATATTGGAAAAATCGAATATTCTGGTCCAGCCCTAATATATATACGCAAAAAAATGCTATATTGATGTGCGCATGCCCAGGAGCCGCAGCTGTATTCCAACCACAAATCAGACAAGAGAGTAGATTAACTTCGGTGGACTTAAACTTGAAAAATGGTGTGTTTCACGGTTGAAATAAAATATGTTCTGATGTTCATTCATGTTCATTTTATGCTTTAAGTAAATATGAAAAGACGATTGGTTCACGTGCCACTTTAACTGAGGCAATACAGTGATCTGTCATTAAACAGCCAAAAAACGTTAATTGTTGTTGAATTTTTTTTTTAATTACCAAATTTTAAAGGTGAGTCCTGAGACCTCATACCAGAAGTAGTAACCTGCTCTGTCTTGTCTGTCGGTGTATTGTCAGTTTCCTTTTTTTCCTGTATTTTTCACTGCGTGAGAACATGATGTGTAGCGTGAGAGTGGCATTGTTTGCCGGATATAGGCGGGTCTTTGCGAATGGTCAATTCAGTAAATTTCTCTTCCTGTCATTTCAATTAAAATTTCAATCTATCCCCCTGTGAGTTAAGGCCAGTTCAACTCAAATTCCAAATAATGAACTGAAACCGGGATAATTCCTCAATTCTGAATTTTGCCCCACGCTGGCACCCTACTACCAGTACTCAGAGGGTAGGTTATGTAGTAATGTAGTCAGCTGGGTCATTATTCATCTCTGAAGTGACTGGAAATGCAGGTCTGACCTGAGAGAGGTTCACAGATCCTCTGCACTGACGTCAGCACTAAAAAGGAGCAACAGAAAGCAAAACTGAACCAGAAAGAGAAAGACCGAAACTCTTAAGACTCCGAATCCCAGTGATTACAGTAAACCACAAGCCACCTTTCCTCTGCTGTCCTTAGAGCTCCTCTCATTTAGACGGTGAGCAGTTTCTCAGTAATGAGGCTCATTTACATGGCAGTCACAGCGGCCCCAGAGGATCCATACCCTACACACACACACACACACACACACACACACACAAGGTCTCTCTCATGATTGTGCCCTTTGAGTTCTCTCATAAATGACTTAAAAGGACACCGAATCGAATCAAATTGAACTATACAGTCAGTATAACGCCTCCTGAATTTGTACTTTTCAAATGATCAAATGATGGTCAGATCTCTGACGTCCAAATGTGGCTGTTTTTAACTCTGGCAAACAATTGATTTTTGCATTCAAAACTCACTTTAATGATGACTTTATGAATCCCATACACCTAAATCAATGGCAAAATAATATTTCCATCCTTTAACAACACAACGCTGCACAGCACAAACCTAAAGCATTTCATTAATGAGATTTTAAAAATCAGACCTCCTGTCCACATCCAGACTTTCCTGCTGTAACCTCACCTCTACTGTCCAACCACATCCAATTCAGACCCATCAGCCTTTAGCAAGGATAGTCAGTCCTTCACTCCTAAAGAAACAACTTGACAAGGTCAATTTTCTTTCCTGCGTTGATGGTGTTTCCTATTGAAACAGGAGGTTTGGGCAGAACATATTGCGAGATGACTCATGAAAAATATTTGTTCAGTTTTCCCAGAGAACAAAGACAGAATTTTTAATGTGTAAATCTGCTGCAAGTTAATCTTGTCAACTTATGAGCACACTAGCATACAAATGAACTCAAAGCTACAGACACTGACTGGTCTTTAACCCTCTGGGGTCCGAGGGTGTTTTGGGGCCTGGAAAAGTTTTGACATGACCTGACATTTGTGCTTTTTTCAGTTGCTTACAAACATTTGAATGTCTAAAGTTTAATAACACTGTAATCAGCACAAACTGGGCTACAATAATATGTGAGCAGCATGTATGTACGTGATTGTGTTTTTGAGAAAACAACGTTTATGCGTGCTTAGTGAAAAACTACAATTTTAAAGTCACTGAAATAAGGCCATAAAACACTTTTCAGTTCTGATCTTGAAGTCTAGAGTTTTTGCTTCAAAATTATGTGAAAATCATCTTACTCACTCATTCACAGAAAACAATATATTGATTAAAATTTTCTAAGACACTTTTTGTGTAGAAAAGGTATATGCGAGTAGGCGTGAATGATCATGAATAATGCTGTGATTCACACCTGAGAAGACAAAGGCCTGCATAATGAGCTGCATAATGAGCTGTCAGGTGTGTGACTGAGAGGGAATTGCTACAAGAAAGAATGTGAGGAAAAAAGAAATGTATATATTTTTT